ATCATTCCAGTTTACTTGGCTGTTTTGTTGCTAGTTGCAAAGTATTGAACTGGCACAAGTAAAGACTAAAATCAGTTTTTACTGATTAAGAATTTTCGACTATTTTTCCTAACGCTTTGGTCTGTTTCGATGTCCCGACAATCGTCCCGACTCATATTGTGCAAAAAAAAAAAAATAAAAATAAAAAAAAAAAATAAAAAGAATTGCGAAACCTCAGTATTTTCACATACGCATTATTATAGGAACTAACTCACCAAAACTCAAACAATTTTTTAAAGAGGAAACGAGAAGCGCGCCCGTCCATGTTGTCTTTGACTTGGATTTTTAATATTGAGAAACTGATAATTCCTAACGTATACAGGAGCAGGTTTTTTTTACGGATCAAGATTGGAATATATTAGAAGCTTAAAACCTTGCATTAATAAAAAAAGATGTCTTCACTTCCATAGTTGACCGCTCTGGTGGCCTAATGGTTAGAGCGTCTACCTCCGATATGTGGGGTCGCGGGTTAGAATCAACCGAAGAGTCAAACCAAAGAGTTATAAAAATGGTACAGACAGCTGCCTCACCTGTAAGAGGTTATTGTTATGACTTGTCGGCCTGGTGTAAGATTAACGTGACTAGGTGGGACATCATGTTGCATGGCTGCGGCATGATGCCCCCGTGCTAGATATCACTATAAACTGCCACATTTCAGACATCTTAGCGATATCACTGAAAAATTGTTAAAGCTACGTTAAATATCCAAAATACACACACACGCACACACACACTTCAATAGTTAACCGTGATTACTTGTAAAAAGCCAATACTATTACATCTTCTATCACTTGATTAATTATGGAGAAAGATGAACGTTTGATAAAATAAAATTATGGCTTATGTTTCAGCTCCGATCGCAGATTTGGCCAAAATATCTTTAACAAGAATAAATTCTTCGAAATCCGTACCATCTTCACACGTCAACCCTACTGTTGGTGGAAGTAGCTTTGCCTGACAAAAGCAAGACTTGGATCCTCAAGACGTTCTCAAAAGTGTTTTCGTTGTGTTTGCTCATATATAATGACCACCGAATTGCGAAACGAGGGATTCAGAGCTGTCGTCGCATATTGCTCTGACAAATCAAGGTCAACCCTATTCATTCTAATAATATCAGGCAGGCAGCAGAGATTCTGAGCTTTCGGAACATTATACAATAGAAAATTTGCGGGTGACGCACTTGTAAACTATGGTAATTTATTATGGCATATGGTGTACATGTGCAAAGTGAACATACAGTTCATAGATCAGTGACTTATGGAAATGGTCCAGAAAAAGGACAAATACAAAAGGTAAAGTACACCCTTATGAGCAAGTGACCTTTCTGTACTGGTAAATTAGTATCAATACTCGTATTTGAGACTTCGTGATCAGCAGTAAAAAGTTTGAATTTTTAACCTGTTCACTATTTGTCGCGCATGTGAAGTTGATTAGTTGACCCTACTGATTTTGTTGTATATTTATTTTCCTGTCATTTTTTGTTCAATTTGGAGAATTTTCTTTAGTAAATTGGAGATGCATTTATATGAGAAATGCGTGACTTTAATCACCTTATTTACAACACTCCGTATTGTTGGTGTTAATCGTTTAACAAGAGACAGAAGTTACATGTATATTCATTCTCACGACAAATCTGTACCACCTTCTCCGCGCATCATTTGGGATGTGATGTTCAATACATGGTACAGTTTTTATTCTTAGGTGGCGTTGTTTTCCGCTACGCAGGGTTTCAGTTATTTTCCTTCAATATGAAATGAAGGTTAATCAAATTTCTACTTTATATGGGCAACAATCATGCACACAGATCACCCCATTTTCATTTATTTTTGCTAAATCTTTGCTATTTATACACTAGTACACAATGTACATGTAGTATGCACATTTTGAAACTGTTTATCTTTAATTGGACTATTGTCAGTTTTAACTCCATTTCTATTGTTATGTACATAGTTCAGTAAAAACACACACACACGCACACACACACACACATATATATATATATATATATATATATATATATATATATATATATATATATATATATATATATATATATATATATATATATATATATATACATACATACATACATACATACATACATACATACATACATACATACATACATACATACATACATAGATGTTTTATAATTAAAATAGTCTGCACATACTGACCAACTGTTACAAATAAGATATTTATCCTCATTATTTGTGAATGCCCACATTTGTGGTATATACGTGAACCAGTGGCATCACTAGGTGTGTGCGTCGGGTGCAGATCGCATTGGGTGACATCATCAGAGGGGGGCACCAAAATGACTGTCTTTAAAAAAATTGAAGTTTTGTGCAGGAAGGTCTATGGGGGTTGGTGATTCCATGAGTTACCGCACACCTCTGTCTATAAATTATTTGAACTTTTGTGCAGGAAGTCCATGGGGGGGGGACAGCATGAGTTACGGCACTGAATGACACCAACCCTAGTGACGCCACTGATGTGCAATACGACTTTCTTACTTTGCCTTCTTATACCTGTGCAGATTAATGTTTTCCAATAAAGAGTGATAGGTGATGGTTAAGACTCTCATTTTTTTTTACATTTGTCCTTCTTTACTTAGCCTTTTCTTTTTTTAACCTTTTTATGGAAGAGTTTACCAGTAGAGCAGATAACACCGTACTTTCTCGTTTTAGTATACCATTGGTGCATTATCTCCCTTTGCGGGTGCTCTCCACTCATCGAAAGGTAGTGCATAAAAGTTTACCTTGTGAACAAAGCTGGTTACTACCTAGGCAAATTCACTGCATGTTATAATGCAACCAATTTCTTAACTTGCTGTGAAACAGTTATTGGGTGTTGCTCTGTGCATACAGGTCCCAATGGGTTTGCTTACATTATCTGACTGATTGGATTTCAAAATATGGCCCAAATACATATAACTGTCGACATACGAAAGAGCATTGCCGTTAAGATGTACAGAGGGAGGTGATGATAATTTAAATGTCTGTCAGATCTAACGTGACGTAATAGTACCTATAATTATATTGTGCATAAATGTGCGAGTCAACAATAGAAACAATTTAGAACTTCTTATCAAATGTATTTGTATTCACTTTTTTTTACTGACAGCCATTTAAATACGAGTTATTAATTAATAAATGGGGACATAGTAAATGAATTGAAGCGTTTGTTATTGTGTTAAATATTGTGGTCCAGCATAAGTTACAGTTGACCTCTCCAGCCTATCCCATATTATATGATATCGATCACATTGCTGAACAGTATGGACACTGTAATCTACAAAGGCAGTTTCAGATTAGATCCAAATTATTTCATCACCTTAAAAATGACATTTTCCCCACAAATTATGTAATTTAGGCGAAATAGAGGTTAGACAAATTTGATTCGTATTGAGTGAAAAACATACTTTTAGATAGCATTTCAACGAACAATATAAGACCATGCAAAGAGTTTAAAAAGTTTGTTATCTCCATCGTTTCAATTATTATTAAAACTTTTCGTACTGCAATATATTGACAACGTTGATTTAAAGCATAACATAATTCTTTAACCAGTAGATTTACTGTCTACGTGACCGTTTATACGACGCTGGATTTGTTACTATGATTTTTTTTATATCAGTTTAATAAAGTAAATTTTAGTTTAGACCTTTTTTAGTATGTTGAAAAATGAAATTGCTAGATAAGCTTATGAAATTTTAGTTCCTATGAATAAACAAAACGTACATAAATATATCGAAGAACAAACAAAAAACATTGAAAAAAGAGGAGTGAATCATTGAACCAGTGGATAAATGAATGAACGATAGAATACACGCAAAATGAAACATAATGTATGTTAACCAAATATACGAATGAACAAATATACGAATGAACACAATAAATTATTTACGAAAATGATGATTAGATCAAAATGACGAAATTTTTACTTAAAAAACCTCATGCAGGGATATAACTTTTATGATACCAAGAACTGAAATACGTTTTCAGTAGATATAAAGGTAAAATTATTGTATCAATCTATCTATCATTAAACCTCTGGCCAGTTCTCCTTGGGGCATACAATAAACAACGAACACTGTTGACAAACATGATGAATTCATACAATTAAAATTTAATTTCATTGTCTGGTATATCTGATAATTTATCGTCCTGTTATAATTTATACACTTGAGCCTGGCAACATACACGATAAATAAAATCTTCAATTATTCTCGGATTACAAAAAAGAAAACTGTCTATCTTAAATAAATCATCCATAATATAACACTGCTGTTTACGATAGATCGTGGGTCCTTGTTTTATTTGCATTATTTTCTTTATAGAATGCTAGTATATATATATATATATATATATATATATATATACATATGTATATATATATATATATATATATATATATATATATACATATGTATATATATATATGTATATATATATACATATGTATATATATATATATATATATATATATATATATATATATATATATATATATATATACATGTATATATATATGTATATATATATATATATATATATATATATATATATATATATATATATATATATATATATATGTATATATATATATATATATATATATATATATATATATATATATATATATATACATGTTCTAATATATATATATATATATATATATATATATATATATATATATATATATATATATATATATATACATATATATATATGTATATGTATGTATATATATATATATATATATATATATATGTATATATATATATATATATATATATATATATATATATATATATATATATATATATATAACAAAAAATCTAAGCCCCATGTTGAATGTGGCAGCCTTTTTCCTAAAAATATCACATTGACCTTGAATAAGTGAAAACTGCTCATTCTAGCAAATCCGTGCCTACTATTGCTGGAGTTACCATCGCTTGACTGCTCCTGTGGCCTAAGCGGTTAGAGCGTCCGCCTTGGATGCAGGAAGTCGCGAGCTCGATCCCCGGCCGAGTCATACCAACAATTTATAAAAAATTCTTTGCAGATGCCTTGATTGGCGCTCAGCATTAAGCGGTCAGTGTTAGGACTGGTCGGCCTGGTGTCAAGATAATGTCACTGGGTGCTAGACATCACTATATACTGTCATACCTCAGATACTGTAACGATATGACTTAAATTGTTAAAGTAAATCTCTCTTCCCCCCATCCCTCCCTCTTTCCATCTCTCTCACACAAACACAGACAGACAAACCGATAGACAGCAGACGCATACACACACACACAAGTTCGCTTGATGGACCTTAGGTATGCACATATAGGATGTCAATAGTCAATAGTGAAAATTATCATTCACATGCTAATTATATTTATTTCATCTATACAATTATATATATATATATATATATATATATATATATATATATATATATATATATATATATATATATATATATATATATATATCTATATATACACGAACACACACACACACACACACACACACACACACACACACTTATTTGTAGCACATATTAAGGTTCAATGATATTTGTCCATAAATATTAAATCAGTGATCTACATATCCCGTGTTCGGTCAGAATTTGATATAAATGTCCCCTTATTTGGAATTTGCTTTTCAAACTCAATTCTGACAAAATGGAAACATTACAGTTCAAGGGCATAAAACCAGGTTTGTGATGCTGTAATATCCATGTCTCTCAATGTTAAATAGAGTAAATCTTCGTACTAAAGTACCTGGCAATCGAAGTATACTTGACGAAAAAGACATAATTTCTTAAATAATATGGTCACAATAAAATAAAACAAATTATAATTCCAAACACTATAATTTGTCATAATGTAGAATAAAGTAAAGGAAAAATAAGTCCCAGAAAAATTGGTACTTAATGTTTTAAGCAATAATGTATTTAGTAGTCATCAAGTATAACAAGGTATGTAAATTTAGTGGAAATGTCGTTGAAAGTTTGGGCAGTAACAGCGTAAGAAACGAGCTCCTAAAATGGAAGCATTATAAAATAATAGACAGGTACTCAGGTTTTTTTATTTATGACTAGCTGGTTGTACATGGACACTACTTCACTCAATTTTAACATATTTGGTTAATTCAAGGGTATGTATTTTAGTTTTATAGTATTAATGTTAGTTCTAGAGTACTTATGTTAGTTCTTGGGTATTTATATAGTTCTAGAGTACTTATGTTAGTTCTAGAGTAGATATGTTAGTTCTTGAGTACTTATGTTAGTTTTAGAGTAGTTATGTTAGTTCTAAATTATTTATGTTAGTTCTGGAATACTTATGTTAGTTTTTGAGTACTTATTTTAGTTCTAGAGTATTTATCTTAGTTCTAGAGTAGTTATGTTAGTTCTGGAGTACTAACGTTAGTTCTAGAGAAGTTAATTTAATTTTAAAGTATTTATGTTAGTTCTAGACAACTTATTTTAGTTTTAGAGTATATATGTTAATTCTAGAGTAATTATGTTAGTTCTAGAATACTAATGTTAGTTCTAGAGTACTTATGCTAGTTCTTGGGTATTTATGATAGTTCTAGAGTACTTATGTTAGTTCTAGAGTACTTATGTTAGTTCTTGAGTAATTATGTTAGTTCTAGAGAACTTATGTTAGTTCTAGAGTACTTATTTTAGTTCTAGAGTATTTATCTTAGTTCTAGAGTCGTTATGTTAGTTTTAAAGTATTTATGTTAGTTCTAGAATACTTATGTTATTTCTAGAGTATATATGTCAATTCTAGAGTATTTATATTAGTTCTAGAATACTTATTTTAGTTCTAGAGTATATATGTTAATTCTAGAATAATTATGTTAGTTCTAGAGTACTAATGTTTGTTCTCGATTATGTAGGCTAGCTATTTTTTATTTAGGTTATTTATACAGCGTGTGGGTTTGTTCTAGTACGCAACGTTTCCTCTAATATTTTTCCTGTATGCGCGGAATTTTAAAACTGCTGCGTGGCATATGTATTTGCCACCAAAATTTGTGCGCGGAATTTTGAAACTGCTGCGTGGCATTTTCTACTGAGCTGCGCAGTCGCGCAGCCGCGCACCTTAGAGGCAGCATTGGTAGTATATATATATATATATATATATATATATATATATATATATATATATATATATATATATATATATATATATATATATATATATATATATATATATATATATATATATATATATATATATATATATATATATATATATTCGGAGAGTATTTGGGTTAGTTCTAAAGCAAGTTGGTTAATTCTAAAGTATTTAGGTTAGTTCTCTATTATTTAAGGTTAGTTTTAGAGTATTTAGGTTAGTTCTATATTATTTAGGCTAGTGTTGGAGTATTTGGGTTAGTTCAATGCTAATTAGGTAACTTTTAGAATATTTAAGTTAGTTCCATAGTACTTAGGTTAGTTTTATATTATTTAAGTTAGTTCTATATTATTTAGGTTAGCTTTAAAGCATTTAGTTTAATTTTAGAGTATTTAGGTTATTTAGGTTAGCTTTAGAATATTTGGGTTGGTTCTATACTATTTAAGTTAATTGTAGAGTCGTTATGTCAATCCTATATTGTTTAAGTTAGTTTTAGTGTATTTAGTTCAGTTCTATATTATGTTGTTTAGTTTAATATTACTTAGGTTAGCTTTAGAGTATTTAGGTTAGTTCTATAATTTTAGGTTATTTATAGACTATTTAGGTTAATCCTATACTTAATTTTAGAGTTTTTATTGTAGTTCTATATTATTTACAACTTGACCAAGGTCAAAAGTGTTTTTCGTTTCCATGTCCAAATACTCAATCTTCGGAGAATTCCAATTATCCGAAAGATCCTTAGCAAACTTGCCCAACTATTTTATGTAGATTAGTAATTAGATCCTTTAACTCAGTTTTGTATAATATAGTCAAATGTTGTCATATTTGATTTAAAAATTTTGAGCTTGTATTTATTTATTCGAGACTGTCGTATGTATATCCGTGATATTCGATCAAGTTCACAGTGAAACAAAATCGTTATGAGTAGATTGTTAAATTTGTGGTATTTGTATTTTAAGTAAGATTGTAAATGTATACTTTCGATTGCATTTCCTTGTATAAACCCCACATGTCACTTCAGTAATTGAGTGTATGAAATATAAGCTTTAGAATGAGGTTTACACAGTAGAGAAAGTTATTAATTAACAAATTTGTGATTATTATTAGTTTTGTGTAAACAAACTTCTTACATCTCAAATGTCCCACAAAGTCTTGATTTTCATCATCAAGTCATATAATTTGCGATTTTATTATGTTGTTGTTATGAAGCTATCTTTTTCAGGAAGATTATGCTTCGAATCGTGCTTTTTGATACAACTTAAGTGTCGTAAAAATTAACCCCAAATGGATTTGTCTGCCAATCGTTGTCTTTTATTTATAAACCAGGTTATTGGTGTTGTAATTTCTTTTGCACAATTTTAATTGTACAGTTTATATTGTCACATATATTTTCAAGAAGTCAATGTCAGATATTTGTACATCGCTTTTAAGTCCAAATATGATATATTCAAAGCCGGATCAAGGCCAGAACCTAAATTGTCCTTTCTTTTTCTGGGTTCTCTACGAACTTTTAATATTCTTCCTTGTTTAACCACCCCACCCCAATTCCTCTGGAACCTTATGGCTAATTGGTTATCGATCTAGGCTGGCAATCAGAATGGCATAGGTTCCGATCATACCCAGATTATACCGGATAGTAGAGTAATCCATCATGGTATGTCACTGAGCAAGTAACTTTAGACATATTGGTTCTGTGTGATGTGACTGTTCATGCACTGATCTGCTGTTAAGGACTAAGAAAAACAATTTCTTCCACCACTTAGGCTATTCTGCTATCTCATAAACAATCAATGAATATACATGAAGGTATTCGTTTATTACATGAACAGTTAGTGATTCCACATAATGGTATTCTGCTATCATATGAGTAGTCAATTAATGTACAGAAAGCTATTCTGCTGTCAAATAAATATTAAAGAAAGGAATACAAAGGCAGTGTAGATTCATTATTGTAGAGTAATGACTGCAGTAATGTAATAATTAAGGCTTACTTCTTTGGATTTTATTTTCATTCTTGAAATTGGTTGATTTTATCCTTGTGCTGAATGAAAACGTTCCTCAAGAAATTTATGATCAAAATGTTTGAACTTAAGGAAACATAATCCGTTCTCTTCTCTTACGTTGGATCTGTAGAAACAATATAATTTTCAGAAGGCGCACTATACTTATCATAATAGTGACGTCACTAAAGGTAGTAAAAAGTAACTAATATATTTCAACTTATCTCTCATATATCACCGATTTATGTAAAGTTATTTTTTGTGGAAAAATTCTTGAGATCACCATATCGATAGTCATAAAAATTCCCCAAAGACCATTATATTTCAGTGGTCAAAGTCTGTCTTTGAGGCGTGCCAGTTTAGAAAATGATTATACTTGTGCACTTTAAAATTATGTTTTAATCATTTATGTTGAGAAAGAAACTTTGTATCTGTGTGGCCGATTGATAGGATTGAGGGTATTTTCTTGATACAATCAACAACAAAAAAAAATCTGCTTATCTCTAAGCGTGACAGAGGTTTAGTGTAAGATTTCCGTTTTACTTGTTGAAAATATGACAGTATTGATTTTATGAGCGTTGCATCACTGTCTTGAGTTAGTTGCAAGGTCAAGTAGAATATCCACGCAGTTCAATAGTAAGGATATCATACGGGTGTTATCAGCTAGTAGAATAATTAGATGCTTAATATGTATACCAAAGGAGCCGTTGTGACTCAGTGATTAGCATGCTGGACTCGCGACCAAAAAGGTGCAGGTTCGTATGTTACCATCGAACCAGTCAGTGTCAGTTACCTTGGTGTGTACTTGTGCAAGGCACTTTACTCAGATTGCCTCGGCACTAAATAATCTACATGTGTTGCTGTACAGTTGAATGCCAGGTCAAACTACCAACGTTTATT